CCGATATGATATAATTGGACCGGTTGTACTAACCGCGCGGAAAACATGAAACGCGAGCGCGACACGCGGAACTGTTAGTAGATCCCGTGATTCTAGCCGGTGGTCCGAGAGAGGCGGTGGTTTATCGACGGTAAAAATGATTAGAAAATATGCGAGAAGATAGAAAAAAATTCGTCTCTTTTTTAGTTTCGCCACGAATTGAATTTATAAACGTGTTTTTTTAAAAATAACTTTTCTCCCCCCTAAGTGTGACGTAACGCTGGAATTTATTCGGAATAATAATGACTTAATTACCTTCTGCATCGCATGAATATTTCTTACTTTCTGGCTCGCGATGAAATACCACTTACGCACGTCCAGCCAAGTGCAAAGATTTACAGTTAAAAAATTCTTTTGATTCTTCCCCGTGTGCGTGAAAAACTACTGGTAAAAATTGTTAAACAGAAATTAGAAAAACGGTGTTACCGTTAAGTTATCAGATAGGAACAAGATAGGAATACAGTTTCTTTTTCGGTTCTACCTTCGTAACCGAACCCAACGGTGGAGCGCAACGCGCGAAACGAAGGGATTACGAAAGCAGCCAAGTCGTCCGTCTATCTTTAACCCAAGTGCGGACAACAGTTGCGAGAAATCGTTGCACTCGCAACAGAGTTGCACTCTCCCACCTGCCAGTCCCCTCCTCGGGCCTTATCCAACCTACTTGCACGCGTATTTCGATACCGAGAATCTTCGTACCTCCTCCAGAATTTGTTGCTTCTCGTCAAACGTGCTTTAACGTGGTTTCTCTTAAAGCAAGTGAATTTTTTACTTCTCGTCGAACGTGCTTTAATACTCTTCTGTTATATTGAAAATCGATAGGTATATCTGTGAGAAGAAATCAACCCTTACTTCAGTAACCACAACAGTTGTCTACTTTATCGTCCCATTTTAGCAGTTTCCCGACAACAAAATTCTAAACTTGGATCAAACACGCGTAAGAAATGTGTCAAATAACAACGATCTGGCCGGTTATTAAAAGATCAAATACGTCAAGTGAGAAAATTTAGAAAAAAGTAGCCCAAAAAGTTATCGTCTCAAGGATTACGATATTTCCTCTTCCACGCGTGTCCAATTCCCGGTATCAAAATTGCTCGAGGTGACCCATTAGCAACATTCCAACGGCGAACGTTCAAGTAAGTTAAAAGGCGATTAAAAAAATCGACACAGATAATCCATCTTTTTTCCGAAACTCGCTAATGGATCGTTTGAAACCCGTCCGCTCTTAAATTCTCCCCGGGGTCTTTTGCTTCGGAAAGATAATCTCGCGTCTTTTCGCAAACGTTTGATGAAAATGTGGGAGACCGGAGGGAAGAAGAGTGTACGAAACATTCTCGACTTTCTTCTTATACACGGTATTCGAGGGGTGGTCCGAATTTCGCCTTTTCTTCCACCCTTATTAGATCGCGTAATATCCTCCCTCTACCCTCTCTGTCGCTCCACAGTTCCCCCCACCTACGCGCTTACCGTCGTCCTTTCTCACCGTATCGCGGCGCGATTGCTTAAGCGACAGGAATTTATTGGCCACTAAAACGCTGGAATATGCAAATCATTTAGCAAAGGTCAGGATTCTCACGAATGTCAGCGTGCACAGCGTAAGTACTGTACGTGTGCGCGCACGAAACTGCGGAATAAATGACGTATCGATTTGCGGCGCGGCGTGCCGCCAGCAACGAGCGCGTTACGAGTATCGCGCTAACCCTCTCAACGATCGCTGTCGAAAATCGTCTGACCACCGTTCCTAGATCCGTTGTCGCGTGATTTCAAGGTTTCAGGACGAAAATTTCACTGGAAAATGAAAAGAGCTACGTGAAAGGTGAAAATTCGAAGTACTTAAAAGCGCGTAATTGGAAGAAAGATCGGATCGATCCGTCTCGTAAATTCGCCGCAGCGGCAATCAGAGGGTTTGCGCGGTAATTTAAAAAGCGAAGACAGGCGCCGTTTAAACGGCGGACACGCCGGTGCAACCGGTCTCCTTTACTTCGAGTACGACGATTTCTCAACCAGGAAGATGCTATCTGGATCACCGGGCGAATCGTCGCGGCAGCTGTCCTCGAGAATCGCGACACAGCGTGCAGGCGGTGTACGCGCGGCTCTCCCCGATACCAGAGACGGTGACGAACAAAGATAATGGAGCTGCCATCTATTGGGGGACGGTAAAACTATACGCGGCGCACGTATTCTGCTACTTTGTATGTATCGCACGCCTGCGCGTGCACCTCCCTACCATGCATACGATTAATGCCGGGGACGGGATGATCACGCGAACGATATCTCGTTTATCGTGGCCGAGCGTGCCCGAGCGTGCCCGTATGAGCAACCGTTGCGTCTCGTATTTTCCTATTCTTTACGATTGCCAACCGAGGGACGAGCTTTTCTTCCACCGTCGAGGATCGATCCTCGTTCGAAATCACCCTTCTCTCCTTCCCACGATCCGTCCTACACAGTCGGATGAACGCTTGCAAATTGTATTCAGCGATCTCTAAACACAGACGGCTGGTGACGAGTGAAAGACTGGTACGCGAGAGACGAAGAGGGACAGGCCAAGGGACGAAAGGGTGGAAGAGAGCCGGCATTTGCAAGGAGGAAAGCGAGAACGGCCGTTAGTAGGAGAAGACTGAACGGCTGTACGGGTCATGGAACGGATCAGCTGATCGGAGGCGCACGCCAGACTTTACGAGTTACGGCCGCCAATAAACCTGCCGCGGTTCGTTGTTGCTCATGCGACGTTTCATGGGTTCCAGGGTCCCGAGAAAAGGACGGCTGGTGGGGACAAAAGAGAATGACCAAATACGTGAATGAACGACGATGACTGCGTCGGGGATCGCCCATTTAAACTATCTCTCTTTCTTCCGCTCGTTTCAAGGTCTATCTGCAGAGGAGAGATTCGGAGCACGATCCCCGGTGACTCTTTCAGCCGCGTTTTTCCCTACGGACTCACCGGAGCACGTACGCTCGACGACCTTGTGCCCGTAACAGTACCGACATGGTTACCCTGGTCGATTAGTCCAGCTGGTGGCGAGAAGAATAGCTCGGAGTTGATGCTTACCTGGAGGTGGGTACGGACTGGAGGTGACAGGTTCGGGCGCTCCGTAATTCCTGAGGCCACCGTAGCCATCGTGAGAGAAGGCGCCTTCGGCAGCAACCATGGCGGCAGTGACCCTTCCCCGGTCGTCCGCCGCGGACGGCGTCAAGTAAGGAACCCCGGCTTGCGAGTGAGGATGATGATGACCGGCCGTGTCGACGGGATGGTGATGCCTGGCCGTGGTGTACGGCGCGTAATTGCACCAGCTCTGAGAGAAGCTCTGATGACAGGAGGATACGGCCGGGTCCGTGGCACCGGAAGCGACCGAGGAGGATCCACCACCGGT